TTCGGGCAGCGTTACCATGTTGACCGTCATGGTCAACTTACCCCAAAACAGTTGAGATTATCTGTCCTAAATCAAATGCATACAAACTCATATACAGGTCCTAGACTATATTGAAATACGCGAAACTTATCATGTCAACAGAAATGTCATATAAAGTAGTAACACTACAGATACAAGTTCAATCTTCTAACGGGCTGGGGTCAGTTGTTATTTCCAATTAACATATCAATATCCATATCTACCACCACCAGCTCCTCCTCAGACTCCTCCTCGTCCTCCAACTCCTCATCCTCATATTCCTCCAACTCCTCATCCTCAGACTCCTCGTCCTTCTCCTCAAATTCCTCCTCATCCTCAGACTTCTTTTCCTCCTCACCCTTCAACTCCTCATCCTTAGACTCCTCCTCGTCCTCCACCTGCTCATCGTCATACTCCCCCTCAAACTCCTTTTCAGACTCCTCCTCGTCCTTCCCCTCAAATTCCTCCTCATCCTCAGACTTCTTCTCCTCCTCACCCTTCAACTCCTCATCCTTAGACTCCTCCTCGTCATCCTCCTTTTCATCGTGGCAATGCCGAAAACACAATGTTACAAAGTCTAAACGCCCGCTTGCTTTCAAATTGTCAATGATGGCTTTGAATGTTACGCCCACCTCAACGATGCTGGTTTCTCCCAAGCGGAAACCTAGGGTGTGGAGCGCAACAATATTACAGCTCATGTCGAATACAGGAGCACCACTTGACCCTTCGAACATCGCACCTACGTCATAGGTCAGGGCTGTCCTGTCACCATAAAGCTTTTGAATTTTTGAACGATACATGCAGAACGTCGGGTTGTTTTCATACAGCTCCTCGTTTTTTGCGAGACGCCTTTCCAATTCCAAAGACCGTCTGTCTTCGTGAAGTGGCAGGATGGGACACATTTCTTCCTGTTTTTCATCGCCACAAGGATGCCCTACGATACACACCTTTCCCTGTTCAGGCACCTTACATCGAACAAATTTGCCCAGCGTTAATTTCTTCTCAACGACATCCTCAAGAAAGAGAAAAGCGTAATCGAACTGTTTACAGATTACATTCTGTTTGTCAGAAAGAGGCCTCAACTTATGCCCGTTTGATAGCCGTTGCTTATTCTTTTCGTAATCGAAGTGAACATACACTTCATACCGCGTAGATGATCTTTGGGCTATTTCGATGTCTTTGACAACATGCCAATTTGTAGCGATTATATTTTTCTCCACTAAGAAGCACGTTGCTGTAACACTACCACATTTTAGGTAGCCTATTGAGTCGTAGAATTTAGATAAAGTTTTGGTAAACCATACTGGTCGAGCAATAACGTTGTGGTTTGCAAACTGAATCTTTGCAAGCTCCTGGAGAGATTTCTCGTATTTGTTCCCTAGTCTGCCTTTTGGGCCAACTAATGTGCACCAAGCACGAGCTCGTAGGCATTCTACCATTTCCAACAACATTTCTTCTTTTGTTAAATCACCAACGTCCTTGGAAAACACGTACACTACATTTTCCGCCCACAGTTTACCAGTTAGTTTATTAAAATTCGGTTTCTTCCTCAGAGTCTTGGAGACAGATTGCTTTGCTATGTTGACATCACTTGTGCTCTCGGAGGTCGAAGCCATAGGATAGTTGGAACACTTGTCACCTGTTGACTGTACAACAGTTCTCACTTTGACTTCTAAAACACGTTCTTCCGACAAGGTAGCCGGCCTGTCGTTTATGTCAACTATGGGTCCTACCCCTCCTTCTACCTGTTGATTCAAAATATAACGGTCTATATTTTTAAAACGCCCATCTTTCACGAGCGCTTCCTTGAAGGTTTGGTCAGGACTTGCAATTACACAAACGTCGACGTCACAACCCAGTTTTTTGTGATCAACATGGGTTATCGCCGTCTTGTATTTCCGGTTAAGTGATATAAAAAATAGTTTATAGTCCGAAGGCTTAGTAAGTTCACTTTGCGGTTTCGAGTACGGTTTGGTATCATCTAGATTTATTACATAATCATAGACTTTTCCACTTATTTCTTCCCATTTTACTTCTGTTTTCATTTGAATAAAACTACATGGCAGAGAGAATGGCACCCAGAATTTTTTCCCATCGTGATCACGGAGTTTTGCCCAAAAGAGGGTATTATCCAATTTCATCTCAACCTTACGCGATACCACACGACCAAGGATTTCGCTATTTCTTGCAACAAATGTATCAGCCATAAGGTTTGATTTTCTTGTTTTCATGAAGAAATGTGTTGTTTCTTCTAAAGCCACACCTGAAAGTCTTGGTGGGCTAGTGTATCCAGAGTCATTCATACTGTCCTGTAAATAAAAGTTAAATTGTTGAAATTTAAAATAAATAGACCACTTAATATCCATTACAGCTGCTGTAATAACTAAACTAATTAACTAACTTCATTTCTACTAACTGTTCTTCCAAGAGGTCTAGTAAACTGGCCACCTCTTGTTGGTTCAGTGTAAATATGCATGCATGGAGAAAATATGCAAATTTGGGAAGTGTCTATTAGTGTGAATTTTCAGGGCAATTAATAAACCTGATCAGAACAATGGAGGGTGGGTTAATATAATAAAGTTCTTTCTCTTATTATGTGTCTTTCACCTCTCTGCACTGCGATCAGTTCTCGGAGACCTTTTAAGCATAGACGGATTTTCATATTTATTACTGGGGTGGTGAAATTTTAGGGGGGGTGATCCGTGAGCAGGTGACTGAAGCAACACAAAGTGTCACCAAACCCCAGTAAGGTCTATATTCTAGGCGTGGAGCACTAGAGCCGCGAGGGGGAGTCTAGAGAGCAGAAAACAAAGTATCCCAGGAAAAATTTGAAAAAAAATCATGATTTCTAGCTTCGAAAAAA